GTCAGCTGTCAACTTTTTTATTTTTAACCAGGGACCAAATACACCAAATGCCTCATGTTTGGCAGGTAGGTGTTGTGTCCCTGAGCTAAATCCCTTGCCTCAGTTGTCAACATTTTAAAGGCAGACTTCACATTTTAAGAACAGAAAAAGAAAAACTACATTTGGATGGTGGTGCATGCCTGTGATGCCAGCAGTCAAGGAGGCTGCAGCAGATGGAGCTTCTCTCAGCACAACCGAGGTAACCTTAATGAGACTCTGTGTCACAAAATAAAATAAAGCTGAGGGTGTAGCTCAGCTGATCCTTTCGAGCCTTCACATCCTTGGTCTGATGGGAGTTTCTCAATTTTCCACCCTAGGTGCCTGTGAGCCTCCAGACCCTGGAGCTGGAAGCTCCAGCACAGTCCTGACCCTCACACGTGGATGCTGAGCCACACCTGTAGTGTGGGTTGGGATGGGCAGAATGGAGAGTTGAGGCCACTTTACTGCTCGTGTTACAAGGGCAGAACCATCCCCTGCAGCTGGCCCCGTCCCAGGCTGATTAGAAGCCACGAAGATGAGGCAGGAGGGGAAGTCCTCCACAGAACACCCGAGTGTGGGACTGCAGGATATGCTTGGGGACCCTAAACATCTCCTGAGAGACATGGGTTTGGGACTTGGTGGTGAAATCGTTAGCAGGTGAGGGCAAGTGGATAGAAGTTAGGTTATTGAGGGTTGCCTTTCAAGGGGACATTGGGACCTTGGCTGCTACTTTTTCTCTGCTTCCCAGCAGCAATGAGGTGAGCACCTTCTGCCATGCTCTCTGCCATGACATGTTTTCTCACCATAGGCTCAAAAGCAACAAACCTTTCTTCTATTTAATTGATCATCTCAGACACTTTGTTATAGTAATGGAATACTGACTCCCACACTGTACAAATGAAGAACTGAGACCAAAGAGGGTTGCTCAGAGCTTTAGGGACAAGAGGGGATCATGGCCTTGATTCCTGGCCCTGGTTGAGTTGCTCCCAGTGGATTAGTGAATGCCTGCCTTGTCGTGAGCAGTTCTCACATGCTATCATCCAGAAAGGGGTACAGGGAATGTCTGGCAATGCCCTTCCCTGGGCACTCACAATCCCCCCTCACCATAACCTACATTTTCTTGTCTTGGACACCTCGTGTGTTCACACATCTTTGCATTTTCATACATGCTAGAGGTGTGTGGGAAGGTGACTAACTCCATAGCCTTGTATAAGGTTTTATATTTTGTTTCATACCTATGGGTGATCTTGCAGACTATACCTATAATAATAATAAGTGGACAGGCAGCAACCAATCTTGGGCTCTTTTCTTTCTTTCTTTCTTTCTTTCTTTCTTTCTTTCTTTCTTTCTTTCTTTTTCTTTCATGTTTTCTTTTCTTCTTCCTCTTCCTCTTTTCCCTTTTCCTCTGCATTTTCTTCCTCCTCCTCCTATTGCCTCTATTCTTCCTCCTTCTTCTCTTCCTTTTTGTCCCACTAACCCCCTCTCCCCTGACCCTCTCCCTGGAACCTTAAGGCTGAGACCATGATTGTTTATTCTCTGCAGCCTCAGCTCCCACTCAGGCCCACCAAGAAGAGCTCAGCATAAAATGAATGAATGTGGCAACAGATGGCTGAGAAACCCATGATGTTACCAAGCTGGAATGTTCCTTACTTCCTAGTACACACCTGAGTCAGCAAAGCTATCCTTTCTTCCCAGAGCCTGTGGGCAGGAAGATACCTGCTCAGAGCTCCCAAGGATTTTAGCACTCTGAGCACACAGGGTGGAAGCCCAGATCAAGGATGACAGAGGACTCACCTCTTCCCTCATACCCTCCCTGCTGCCTCTGGTGGTCCTCTCTTCAATTTTCCTGAATTTGCCAAGAAGGCATGGACAGCTCTTATCTCTGAGCTCCAGGTTTGCTTCCTGTAAACAGGAAGTTGAATTCTCTTTGCTAGATTGCTCTGAAGATAAAGTGAGGTTACCCACAGGCACACAGAGGCAGTACCTGGCACATGGTAGGGGCATAGGACATTGGTCCTTCCTGGCCTCTGAAGTGGGATATATCAGTGTCCACCCCACCGAGAAAGAAGACAGATGCTTAAACAACACAAGGAGGAAACTGAGCTAACCTGTTCAAAAATGTGGAGGGTACAATAGAAAAACAGAAAAAGAAAATACCATTTCCAAACCACTAGGGGCAACACACACACATGGACAATTTGATCAATTATTATTATTGTTATTGGTTCTGAGAATCATACCCACAACCTCACGCTTCCCAGGCAGATACAGAGTCTGCTGAGCTATATCCCCAGCCCAATTTGATCAATTTTAAAAGGACAAAAAAGAAACATGATTAATGGATAAGGAAAAGTAAGATTGCTTAGTATGTCCAAACAGAACAAAAACTACAATAAATGTAAACTTTTCCAACTTGCCTATGAAAAGGCAGAGACTCTCAGATGGCAGGTGATTTCTTTTTTAAGTTTTTCAATTTCCTGCAGGGCTGAAGATTAAACCCCAAGGCCTTGGTATCTAGTCCTTTTTATATTTTTGATTTTAAACCAGAGTCTCGCTAATTTGCCCATTTGCCTAGCTGGGCTTGAATTTGACATCCTTCTGTTTCAGCCTCACAAATTACTGGGATTATGAGCTGAATTTCCTTTAATAGGAGGGGAAGAGGTTCATAAAAGAAGTCATCAGAGTTAGAACAATAGCTGGAGAAATCTGGGCCTACATTCCCCCTTGGTATAAATGAGTAATTAATGCCCAGAGTTAATGTCCAGAGGTTTGGCTAAGGACACATGGCATGCTAGTGGCCAATTTCCCCATTGGAAGCTTGTTTGTGGCCATGTAAATACTGACTCCATGAATTTTGTTATGACTGTATACACAAAATGTGTGTTTGATTTATTTAGTTTTATTAAGAATTTTTGGCTTTAATGGGATTGAATCCAGAGCTTCACACTGAGCTATATCTTCAGCTTTCTTTCTTTTTTAATTTAGAGGCAGCATTCTGTTAAGTTCCCCGTCAGGGCTGGAGCTTGTGATCCTTCTGCCTCAGTTTCCCAAGTGATGGAATTAGAAGTGTGCACTACTGTGCCTGACTACCATGTACAATTCTTTTTATCATATCAGTTAAATTTAATTACATTAATAATGCTACTAAAATTTTTCTTCTAAAATGCCCTTAGTCTATATTGAAGTTTTAAGTCACTCTCCATAAATTGAAAGTAAGCCATAAAATGAAATAAAAAGAAAAATACTTTCAGTTGAAAATTTGTCAGTCTAAATGATGGGTCTGATGTCTGCTCTTTCTCCATGAAAAGTGGAGACTTTAAAGAGCTAAAATGAAAGACCTGTGGGCCCCTAAGACCTTTCCTTCCTCTAATCAGAAGGACAGAAGACCGAGAAGGGTGACCCAGCCTCTTCCTGTGCCCTGTGTCCTTTAATGTGAGTGGTCCAAGCGCCATGAAAGTTTCAGACCTGTATCTCAGGGTTCCAGGCCCCATGAGGCTTGTTCTGATAGAGCCTCATATCAAGTCTGTCTACTGCGAAGGCATGGGAGCCATGGAATTAAAGAGAGGTAACTTGTAAGTCACTGAGCACAGCATCCTCCAGTGAGACATTAATGACCCTGAAGCGGGACAGCTTTAATTAGCCCCTCCCCCAAATGCCATCCAGGCAGCCTGCGGCCCAGGAGTAACTCCTAACTGTTCTGCGTATGCCCAGCTAGGTAGGTGAACCCCGCAGAGATGCTGCCCAGGTGGAGGGCGCCCTTCCACTGGGCTTGCAGGCTGCTGCTGCCTCCTCCAGACTCCTGGTCTCCTGCTGCTGTGACGAATTGACTTGGGCTGGGCTTGCAAACTGAGTGTGTTGCTCACAGTTCTGGAGGCTGCCAAGGTCAAGGCATGGTAAGGTTCAGGGCCTGGAAAAGGTTTTTTCAAGGTGGCATCTTGTGATTGCGACTTCACACAACCAAAGGCAGAAGGGACAGACACTGTGCTCTCATATTGACAGAAAGAAAAGGCTAGGCAGCTCTCTAAAGATTTCTTTAATTTTAATATTTGTGGTACTGGGGATTGAACTCAGGGTCTTTGGACCAACCTATAACCCAGTCTTTTTTTAATCTTTCAATCTTTTCGAAAAAGTCTTTCCAATACTTATTGTTTGTTTGTTTGCAGTTCTGGGAATTGAATCCAACTCACAAACCTCCTGTCTCAGCCTCCCAGAGTTCTGGATTGCAGGTGTGTACCAGGATATCCAGCTCTCTGAAGAGTTTTACAGGAATGCTAATCTCACTTGAGACTGGGGGCTGTCGTTGCCTAACCCCTACCACAGGCTCTCCCTCTGCACACCATCACATGGGCTTTCCATCCAGCCTTTTGTATTTGAGCCACAGCAGAGAGGTTACTGGGGGGCTGCCCTGCCGGCCCATCTGGCCCACAGCAGTGCTTGGCTCCCAGGAGCAGACACTGGGGATACTATCCACAAATCCACACTGGAAAAGGTCTGAGGCTCATCTCACCCAAGCTCTCACTTCACAGATGAGGGGAGACTGAGACCAGAAAGCCCCTGGAGCACAGTGTCTTAGCTGGGAGCCCCACACCTATCCGTGAAGTCATCCGAGTTGGGGATGTGGTAAGGGAAAGACTAAACCCACACTGACATGTCAAAATGAATAAATGTTTAATTAAACATCCCCAGAACAGAACATTACTCATCTAGTCAATTGCATCTCAACTCAACTCTTATATAGCTAAAATAAATTTTATTTAATGAGGCATGTGGGTGCCTTTTAATATATTTGATGTGATGCAGTATGGAAATGCCAAGCAAGGACCTAGCAGAGGCCCTAAAATAGCCATACCCTCTGAAAGGAAAGGGTTTGCCAAAGATCCTTCATTCATTCATACTTTCATTCATTCAGTCAGTCATTTGTATGAGGCAGCGGTGGCCACACGAGGGCCTCCTAATTCTGCCAAGAGGCAGCTCATTGTCACCCTGTCCCTTTGGCCTCATCTCTGTGGCCTGTCCTGGACTTGATGTCTCCATCCATCTCCTTGTGGGCAGGGTCCTCAGTGCGCACAGTGAAATTGAGCTCTAGAGGGGGTGGGATGGGCCTAAAGGCCGCACAGTGACTGGCCAGGTTTTGTACCCCCAGGGACTCTCCCAGGCCTGCATGAATATTCACAGGCCTGACCCTGCGCTCCCCCTTCCAGAAGTCTGCAAGGAAGCCCATTATGGATTCATGCAGCACCTACTGCATTTCTAATTAAGAGAACACAGTTATTCTAATTTTAACATCACTCTGGTACTACCTCCAACCACCTCCTTCCACTTCATTTATGTGAGGGATGTTTTTGCCTTGGAAGATCAGGAGACACCCCCGGCTTTCTTGCCTATTGCTTAGTATGAGTCATCTTCGGAGGGTCCTCTGTAATGTGGGTGACTCTAGCTGCCTGTCTGGGGTACCTGAAAGATGTTTCCCCCATTAAGAAAAAAACAGGCACCCAGGAGTTTCCAGACTGGGCTGCAGGCTGGAGGGTTCAGCCTCTAGATGAATGAATTCCCACTCCCTCCCAGGCCTGGCAAGCCCTGCTACTGACGCATCTTCCTCCTCCTCTCCCTCTCCCTGCTTCAGTTGAGGGCTGTCGGATAAAACACAGGGCATCCAGCTACAGTGAAATTTCAGGTAAACAATGAATGATTTTTTTTCTCCCTTCCCCCACCCTTTTTTTTAAGTGCAAAAATGTCTTAGAAGTTGAACGGAATACATTTGAAAATTTTTATCTAAATCCTGGCTTAACTGCATACCCTCTGCCTTGATTTACTTTGGCCCCCACTCCAGCCACACTGCCCCTTGTTTAAGACATAGTCACACCTACAGCTTGCTGTGGCAGTCCTGTCCCTGAATCCTACAGTTGTCCCTTGGTGCTAACTTCTTTGACATTGAGATCTCAACTCCAGTGGTGGCTATGGAGGAGGCTTCCTGAGCCCCAAACAGAAGTGGGGTCCCTGACCACCATCATCCTCTCCTGCACCTAGCTTTACGTTTCTCATGGCATTTAGCAATGCGTCTGAGACAGATGTCTTCTGTCTCCCCTGTTTGAATGTCAGCTTGGGAAGAGAGCTGAATCTTTCAGGCAGAGAGCGGGCACAGAGTAAGTACTTGACATGTTCGTCTGTGCACAAGAGGTTTCAGTCTGCCTACACTGTGGCTGGGGAAACTAAGGCTCAGAAAGAGGATGGGGACTGGCCCGAGGTCCTGACTGGCCTTTTCTGCACAGTCCCTTGTGACCCACGAGTAAGGAGCTTTCCTATGAAGCATGAGGAGAGAGAACAAGGTGCAGAATCAAGTGTGGGCACGTGAGAGGGCTGGTTGGGCTGCCGAAAGAGGAGAGAAAAGCTCGCAGGAAGGAGCTATGTTTCCTTATTGGTGGTTCACCTGTGATGACACAGGTACAACTAGGTCCTCAATGGCGCATAGACATCACTTTTTGTAATTTTAAATTATTGTGCGTTTAGTTTGATACGCATCAGAGAAAAATATGTAGTGGATCACTAAGTTCGTGATTTCTGGGATATACTTGCTTAGGACAAGGCCAAGTTGAAAATAAATCAATTGTCAAGAAAACATTAAGAAGAACAGAGAGGGGCTGGGTATTTAGCTCAGCAACGTAAGTGCCTGCCTTGTAAGCACACAGTTGTGAGTTTGATCCCCGGTACCGATAAAGAGAGAGAGAAAAAAAAAAAAGAACAGAGAATATCCATGAATGTAATAGATACTATAGAGATAAAAATAATCATGGTGCTGAGATTAGTAGTGATAAAAGTAATAAAAATGTGAGCTCTTGTGTCAGTCAGCTTTCTGTTGCTGTGACAAAATATCTGAGATCATGAACTTCTAAAGAGGAAAGGTTCATTTTGGCTCATGGTTTCAGGCTTCAGTCCATGGTTGCTTGGTTCTGTGGCAAGCAGCACATCATGGTGTTTGTGTGTGGAAGGGGAAGGTGCTTACCTCATGGGGTCCCCATATCCAACTCCCTCCCACTAAGTCCCATCCCCTTGGAATTTTCCCAACCATGCCACAGGCTGATGACAAAACTATGAACATATAGCTCTTTTAGGAACATTTGTCCAAAGATAGCAGGTCTTCTTTATTCTGTGCCAGCCCTGTTCTGAGCACTTTCCATGAATTTATTCATATATTTCCAAACTCATCCATGAAAGGTGTCCTTACTGACTCCATTTCCCAGGTAAGGAAATAAACACAGAGAGGTCATGTGACCCACTCACAGTCGGTCATGTGACCTATGAGAAGTGCAACTGAGATTGGGACCTGGTGTTCAGGCCCCAACACTTGAAGACAGAAAATGGTGGCCAAGGCACCCCTCACCTTCCTCTCTTTAATGCTGTGAGCATAGCCCTCTCTATAGCAGGGAGCTTCAGCCACTCTTACATCCCATCCTCGAATAATTCTGTCCCCCTCCAGCTGTCAACCAGAGTGGGATATCTCTTAGTGGGCTGAACAGAGACAGCTACATCAGGGTGCTGCTGCCAAGCAGGCCCTGCAGGAATTAAATCCTAGTGAGGATTCTGACTCAGCAGCTCTCAAAAAATACCCCAAAGAAAGTAGAGGACCAATGACATAATCAGTTAGCTCACAGTCGACTGCACAAAGATGTTCCTTTCAGTGTTGTTTATTACTGAAACATTGGAAGGGAATAAAGCTAAACACCCATCACCTGAGCACTAGTTAAGCCACTTGTGCTACACCTGTACAATGTAGCTGGCTTGGCTCACACCCATCACACCCTTCTCCCCATGCTCTCAGCCCGTCACCGACTGCAGCCAAACTCTCTAGCCCAGAGCTTGTGCACAGGCTGGCCCTGCCACTGGTGCTCCCTCCTCTCCTCTCTTTACCTGGTTAACTTTCATTCACTCTGCAAACCTAGCTGTGTCATAGCTTCCCTGAGAGCACCCTCCCTCCACATGTAGATTTTAGCTCCTCTATGAGGAGCCAACGTGGGCCAAGTCTCTCTGAAATGTGAATCTCCCAGGAACAGTTTCTAGGCCCATATACTAGAATGATTCTTGTTTTCTCTTTCTCCCTAGTTGGGCTCTAGGCCTGTTAAGGTAGGAATTGATGTTTTGTCCCCAGTGTAAGTCTAGAACCTAGCACAGGGCCTGGTAGGCATTGAATGTTCCACTGGCTGACGTATAAAGAATGACTGCTGGATACAGATTCAAATGCACTGATATGGCAAGGTGCCCGGGATACATTTGTATGCATGGAGAGTGCAGGTTACAAAATCTCTACAGCTATATATATACACACACGTAAGAAAAAATCTTGGAAGAACAAATGACAAACTAGTGCAGCCATTATGGAAAGCAGCATGCAAGTTCCCCAAAAATACCCTAACTGGGTTCAGGTGTATCTGCCACCTACTGCTGTGATAATGCTGCTTAACAAACAGTCCTTAAAGTCAGGGCCTCTAAATAATGATCTGTGTTATGGGTCTGCAGGTCAACTGATCTGGGATGGGCAGATATGTTTCCTTTTCAGACTTGGGTCCTTTCTAGGTCTCTTTCTTTTGGCCAAGGAACATATCACGGCCAATGCAACTTCTGTGGGCTGGAGGAGCTGTAGAGCCTCCTAGAGAGGCTGTGAGGAGCTGGGAACAGGGAAGCAGCCTGCCACCTGCCCCCTGCAGGAAGGCACTCTGGGTTGTGGGCAGGACAGATGGCAGGAAGGCCTCTTTAGTGGCAAGAGAACTCCTATCACCCAGAGAGGTAAGACACTTTCTCTGTGGCCCCAGGACATGGTGGGCCATATTCACATCCCCTGACCTCTAAGTTCCCGGTCACCATCTAGAACTGTGCTGCTCAGACCCAATTCTGTGCTCTTTCTGAGTCAGTGTGTCAGACTTGCAGGTGGAAGGCTTCCAAGGTGCCCAAGGTGGCAGGACACACATGTGTGATGATGGAGCGGAGAGACAAACATGAGGCCAGGGACAGGGAGAGAGGGAAAGGCAGGGAGAGAGAAAAGGAAGCAAGGAGGAGTCAGTTAAATTTTTATCAAACTTGGGGATCCTAAACTCTCCACTCAGTACTGTATTTTTAGCGCTAAATGGTGCTAAAAGCCTTTGCTGGCACCCTTTAGAGCAGGAGAGCTGCTTCACTAGGGAGCAGAAGCTAGGCTCTGCTGTGTCACTGGATTCTCACTGCGCCTCACTGAGTGAGTGCACTTGCTGGAAAGATCCACCACTTTCCCCAGCAAGTGCATTTGTTCCCACTTTAAAAGGCTGCTTGCCCCTGGGGAGAGCACCACAGCCTATGACCTGCCAGGCTGGCTAGGCTGTAGCATCCGAGATGGGGAAGGGAGGAAGCTGAGCCATTTCTATTTCATCCAAAAGGAGCCAAGGCACTCAGCTCCTGGGAGTCCAGGGGACCTTGAAGGTTTCTGGTGCACAGGACTGAGATGTCCTTATTCCTAAGCAAGATACAAGAGAGCTTGTCTCTACACCTCCTTGTGCTTCTGAGGGGCCTCACCTAGGGCGATGCTGACATCTAAGGAGTGTGCTGTGTGCCAGGTGGCTGTGTGGAGCATCTGGCATTGGCTGAGGGTGTTGTGGGTGGTCTGGGAACAGTTACAATCAGGCCTGTTTTACCAGCCGGCGAGGGAGGTGGAGTTAGAGGATGGTGACACTGGATGGGAAGTAGTACAAAATCAGGGACCTGTGGGGCTGGAGGAAGCCCAGTGGAGCTCTCACTGCACCCCCTCTTGGGGGTGAGAGCCTTCCTTTTGGGGACAGGCCCCCTCATCTTCCTCTTCATCTGTGACAGTCTGGCTGGCCACTTCCTCCCCAGCCAGTGGCGGCACAGTGGGATTCCTGAGGCGGGTTACCAGGGCAGGTCTGGGAGACCTCAGAGCCTGGGGTGTGGGAGGGCTGAAGGGATCTGGGACGAGTACCAGCTGGCAGAAGGGACAGAGCCCAAGAGAGAGGACTGAGGTGGCACCAGGGCAGGGCCCTGCTGCGACCTAGGATTGAGCTCTTGGAGGTGAGAGGGGAAACTCAGGAGCCAAAGATGAAGGAAGACTGTGCTACCCCAAGAGGTCCATCTGGCAATGATCACACTCCTCCTAAGAAATTATACAGAACCTTAATAAATAAAACAAGGAGAAAGGATCTTATGGACCTTCAGGTTGTCAGTGTGAGCTCAAGTAGTAGGCAA